TATAATAAATCGGCTCAACCTTGCCAGGTTTGTTTTAAATGATTTAATTAATAGGGGTCGCTCTCCAAATAAAACGTCTATATATATATATATATATATATATATATATATATATATATATATATATATATATTTTCTAATATTTTTCTTTATACTACATACTATTATATTTGCCTTGTTGACAACACAAATATAATAGCATCGCCTACATGCAAAAAAAGGCTAAAATTAATGGAATTCTTATTGATAAAAACAAAAAAAAACAGCACTCAATACTATGAACGTGTGCACAATATCTCGATCGTGTTTTGAAAATGAAAATATTAACAAACTACTTCTTGTTAACAGTTAATATGCTTCAAACTTGAAAATGAATAAATGTATATCCTAAAGCACAAGGATAAAAAGAATACTTGTACTGTTTTTATATAAATCGTCCTCAGAAAAAATGTATTAGATCACATTGGAAATTCTATAAAAAAGTAAATCAAAGCACTTTGTCGTATTCAATGAAAAGTGCATGAAAGAATGATTGCTGCCTAAATACACAAATCATATATATATATATATATATATATATATATATATATATATATATATATATATATATATATAAATGTAAAAATGTAAAAAATGTCATTTAGTTGATTGCTGGTATATTTAGCAACCGGAATTCAGAGTTTCGTAGGCTCGTACTTTATTCGTCAGGTGGTATCAGCAATTGTCTGCCGATTTTCTCATTACCGTTATTTTTAGTTTAAAAAGTGTTATTTTTATTGGGTTTAAGTTGATTTTGTTTCTTTCTGTGTGCACGTGTTTGTATATGTGTATGTGTATTTGTGACTCCGCTACTACGCGTGTGTATGTGCACATGAGTTGAATGTTTGGTAATTTTTTGTTTTCATAATACCCTTTGTCTTTATATTTTCTCCTATTTGTTTTGCTTCCTTGTTTCTCTCATATATATATATATATATATATATATATATATATATATATATATATATATATATATATATATATAAATACACATTTTGAAAGACGTATGTATGCATATGTCTTCCGAGATACAACTGACTTATTCATAACTTCATCTTTAGCTGCGGGAGAGTCTCGAAAAATATATTTATTTTGATAAAGAATATACCTGTTTTAAACTCTTACTACAAGTTTGTTTTTTATGATTTAACTATGAATCAAAGGTGAACAATATACCTACTTTTACCGTCTGTAATACTAATTACTACATTTGAAGCCAAAGTACACAAGATTTTATGGAGAAAATTTATTTTTTTAATATAATGATGTAAAACATGTACCACGTGATATCCTAAAATAATTTATCTGCATAATTGAAATTCTTATTATATTTACATTAAGTTGTTCTTCGTGCTTTTCATTTGTTTACACCCATTATGAAAACCTTTTCATTTGTGATTTTATATTGCGTTTGCTCCAAGTTATATTGTAATATGATTAATAATTATTATTACAGTAACATGTATTGAAAAGGTAAGTTAAAATATGTGTAATTATTGATAAAATTAATAATATTGTTATTTCATAATTTTGTATCATGAACAGCTTTTAAAAACAATCCGGAGAAGTGTCTGGGTTGTCTAGTACATGATGATTGAAAAGTAACTTCGTATTTTATATAGGAATGTTCAGCAAAGAGTCCTGATTTAACACACTATGACATTTTTCTTTGTGGTTGGTTAAAGAAGCAACTGTAATTACTATACCAAACCGTAAATTTCAAAGACTTGAAAGGCGACTACAAGTAATTATGTCTTCCATAGCACAAGAGTTTCCGGTGAAATCAGTTAATGCGATTATTGGTAGGCTGGAGTATTTGGTAGCTAATTGAGGTATCCAAATGGAATTTTAAATAAAACCATGAAACTATTTTCGCTCATATCCATTTCTTGTACAAATCATAGTTAATAAATAAATTTTAAAATGCTGAGTTACTTTCAATCAGTCCGTACTATATATATATATATATATATATATATATATATATATATATATATATATATATATATATATACAATAATATGTTTACCCACATACAAGTCTGTGTCGCTGTATTACAGCTGATCAGTGTGGCTGGACATCCGATTGCTTCAAGCCTGGATCGAAACCCTATCGATTTGGCATCAGTAGAAGATACTTCCCCTAAGAAATCTGGGCACAGTAGAGCGAAAGGGAAATTTTAACTTAGTGCATACAAATTCAAACAAACGCTAGTAGCCAACAAAGATCAATTCATAGGGATAGGGGGGTGGGGAATAACGTTTGACTTTAGAGTTGGACAGGTTAAAATTATACTTTAATGTGGAAACGTCCTCTTGGGATTATGTTTCACGGAATTCTTGCTTGCAGGAAGAAGATCTTCACGAGGAACTTCTCACCGATGGAATACGAAAGGAATGTGAATGATTTGCTACAGTGTAAGTTGTATAGCGGGCCCTAGCCTTGAAGGTTAGATGTGACGGATCAATGGCATGTTTGTTCGAGTAATGGCTACGGAAGTATAAGAACTTGGAGACGTGTTTGTACTCTATCAGGACGGGAAAGTGAGAACTGGGCAGCTTCTGCTCAAATATGACAACAGTACTCCGTTTTCGGCTTGATCTGGTACTTATAATGACTGAGGATAGCATGAGAAATCATATTTACTGGAGCGTTACAAGAAACCAATCATATTACCTCAATTTTTAGCTGTAAATGTAAATGTATGTAAGTGTTCTACTTGAGGTCATGTGTGAGTTTGAGTTCCAATTTTCTCTTAAGTTACGGTCCCGTCTTAAGGGGTGATCCATTACTACTGTACTACTGTGGCATTCACCCTGGGCAGATTGAGCCGGCTTCTTCCTGTTATGAGAAGAAGATTCTTGTGATAAATTACAGAAGTAGGGTACCCAGGCCTACTCGGATAACGTTCTTGCTTGCCGCGGGGTCCCCACAGACGCAGAGACAGGAACGACCAGAAGCTGCCGGTTACCGATGCAGACGCTCCTTGATTTTCACCAGAGCCCTTGTTAGCCGGCGTGTGTGTCAGACCTATCCGCCTTGGGTGGCCCTACCAGGAACGAAGTTCCGGGCGGCATAGCTCTGACACTACCGTTTACACCCCCCACCGACTATGAGGTAAGGGTTGGACGTTGGGGCTTACATAGTACCAGGTGTTCCCAAGCGGTCCCCATCTAAGTACTGACCTGGCTCTACGCTGCTTAACTTCGGTGATCGTACGAGAACCGGTGTTTCAGCGTGATTTGACCATAAGCGTACGGTGATCCATTCATCGTGATTGACAGTAGTTCCGGGTCTGATCGACAGTGACGGAATAAGTAAATTACAACCAAACTCTGTTACTGTGAGGTATGTGACCATATCGTTCATAATCCCAATATTTAACTAATAATTTACAGAAGTGTTTTAACAAACTGTCCATAAGTTTGCTTATCACAGGTATCAATGACAAATCATACATGTGAACGGTATTCTTCTTTCATTGGCCGAAAATGGATTGCTTCCATTTGATTTAAATTACACAAAGACAGGGAGAGTACGAGGTCATTTTCTTATAGGCATTGGTGGCTAGTATCGTAAATATTGTTGTCAGCCTACCTCAGTTTCCACAAATATACGAAATAAATATCGTGTTGATCCAGTTTTCGAATAGGAAAGGTTTTGTCTGATCTAAAATTTTGCATTCCAATTCCTGTAATTTACCTGCATCGAACAATCATGTTTTGTCAAACGCATTCAGTTGAAGATTAAATAGAAGGTTTCCAACGATTATTTTTGTGAGGAGAAAAATCTACCTGGGAATTTTGTATTCCAAACAGTCATTTCATTAAATATTCAGAAAATGTCCGTCTACCCGTATATTTACGCTACGGGCATTCTAGGACAAAAGATTTCATTTGAATATTAAAACAACTAAACACTAACTTGAACATACTGACGGAAATATATTACCTTAAGTTTGTTTTCCTCTTTCTAAGAATAATACTTTAAGTTTGGAATTGATCACTTTCTATATCCAATGCTGTTTAACGATTTTACAAGCCAATGTCTGAGACTTTCACTTGCGTCCTTCTTTAGCCTTCCACTTTTTTCACACTCCCTCTTTCCCTTGTAATTGCTATTTCACTTTTCATCTTTTCTTTTCTTGGTTATATTCTAAATTATTTCTTCCTTTTTCTCAAATTCTTATTATCATCTGACTTAACTATATTACTTGCTTCAACTACATTCATTCTATTTACATTGTTCGGGCTGTTGTCCTCATATTCATTGGCATATATGCTACGTTTCGGCCGTTGTATGCAACAGCCTGATTCAAATGATATTTGTTGGTATTTCGAAACGAACGCTTTATTTAGTCCACGTGATTAGATTGTTCAAATTTCATGGTCCATGACTTTCGATATTTAATTCTTCTTTATATCTTCTGAAGAACGCCGAGCGAACAACGGCCGAAACGCCTGAATATGTCAATAAAGATGAGGACAATGCACATAATGCAAATAAAAACAATACTTCATCTCAGAAGTACAGACAGATATACATAATGAGGTAGATATGAATAGAATTAGATAGATAGATAGATAGATAGATAGATAGATAGATAGAAGGAAAATGAACAAAATGAGATAGGTTTAACAAAACTAAATATAATTCAACGAAAAAGGCCGGAGCGTACATGGACAGAAATGTTGTTGATATGGCACCGAAAATGACGGCAACAGCCCGAACAGTTTAAATAGTGTAAATAATTAAAATGCCTCAAATCGGAAATATAGACATATTGTTCTAATTTCATGTCCTATGACCTTGAATATTTAGATAATTCCCCATATCTTCTGAGGAACGCCGGAGCGTACAACGGTCGAAACGTCCGAAAATGTCTGTAAAGATGAGGACAAACAATGCCAATATTGTAAATAATTACAATACCGCAGAAATATACACTGAAATATATACAGATACTTTCATTCATCTTTATTCTTTATTTTTTCATTCATTTTCATTCATCTATTTTCATTAACTACATTTCTTTCATTTATTTTCATTCATTTCATTTCTTTTATTTTCATTCATCTAAACGATATTTCTTTCATTTATTTTCATTCATCTTAACTCATTTCTTTCATTTAATTCATATTTCTTTTCTATTTTCATTCATCCGATATTTCTTTCATTTATTTTCATTCATCTTAACTACATTTCTTTCATTTATTTTCATTCATCTTAACTACATTTCTTTCATCTATTTTCATTCATCTAAACGATATTTCTTTCATTTATTTTCATTCATCTTAACTACATTTCTTTCATTTATTTTCATTCATCTTAACTATATTTCTTTCATTTATTTTCATTCATCTAAACGAACTTTATTTATTTTCTTTCATCTGAACTATATTTTCATTCATATTTTCATTCATCAACTATATTTCTTTCAGTTATTTTTCATTATCTATATTTCTTTCATTTATTTTTCATTCATCTTTTCATTTCTTTCATCTATTTTCATTCATCTTAACTATATTTCTTTCATTTATTTTCATCCATCTTAACTATATTTCTTTCATCTATTTTCATTCATCAACTATATTTCTTTCATTTATTTTCATTCATCTTAACTATATTTCTTTCATCTATTTTCATTCATCTTAACTATATTTCTTTCATCTATTTTCATCCATCTTAACTATATTTCTTTCATCTATTTTCATTCATCAACTATATTTCTTTCAGTTATTTTCATTCATCTGAACTATATTTTTTTCATTTATTTTCATTCATCTTAACTATATTTCTTTCATCTATTTTCATTCATCTTAACTATATTTCTTTCATCTATTTTCATTCATCAACTATATTTCTTTCAGTTATTTTCATTCATCTGAGCTATATTTTTTTCATTTATTTTCATTCAACTTAGCTATATTTCTTTCATCTATTTTCATTCATCTTAACTATATTTCTTTCATTTAATTTCATTTTTTCTTAAGGATTTGCCTTTTCTTTCAGTTAGTTTTAGTCCGTCTTAAATAAATTTCGTTTCATTCACCTGATTTATCTTGAATATTTTACTTCTTAACTCTGCTTCTTTCGCTTATTTTCATTCTATCTTTGTGTCTAAAGGATATTTCTTTCTTCAAATTGTTTTTTTTTTATTCTATCTTAAATATATCTCTTTCATTTACATTCTTGAATTCCTTCTTATCTATATTTCTTTCATTCTCTTATTTTCGTTAGCATATCATTATATTTGTCTTAACGATATTCCTACCTGTCACATATTTCCATTTTATCTTAACAGGATTTCATTCATTACACTATTTTCATTTAACTATATTTCCTTCGTTCGCCTATTTGCAGTTGATCTTAGATGTATTTCTTTCTTTCTTCATCCTATCTTAACTAGATTTTTGTCTTTCATCTTTTTTCATTCTACCTTAGCTGTATTTCTGTCTTAACTATATACCTTTCAGTCACCTATTTTCAGTTTATCTTAAATAAATTTCTTTCATTCTCTTATTTTCGTTCAGTTTCACTACAGTCCTTTTTTCAAATAATTTCATTCGCTCATCATTATAATAACTTATTTCACCTATTTTATTCTATTATAACTATATTCTTTCATTCTATTATAATTATATTCTTTCATTTATTTTCATTCTATCTGAAGTATATTTTTCTTTCACCCTTCGTACACTCACACTTTTTATAATATTGCGTATTACGACAAAGGAATTATTCCGGCCTTAATTTTAGCTTCCGAATAGCCATTATATAAGCAGATTGATTCCTATCCAGAAAGGGTTAACTTTCCCGGGCTTCCTTATCGAGCGTCACTCTTAATAAGAATCTAATTCTGTTCCGCTATGGTCCGAAGTACTTGCGTCTCCATTCCAGGCGACCAGTAAAGATCAACAGATTTTCCTGTTTCCTGATTGGTCGGTAATCTAGTGTGAGATGATCTAACTCGATAACCGACCCATCTCATTGTGTTAACTTAAACCACTATTTCGCCGAAAAGATCAGAGCCGTGATTATGGGTACATTTGGCCGAGAGGACGCGTCCGATTTTTATCTCGAACTCACGCCAGTCTGCTTCCTAATCCGACCATACTACTACCTCTACCGTCGATGCACACGTCTTCCTTTCCAAACAGCGCGGAAAGACGCTAATCTATGTATTAGCTATTGCTCAATCGCGTTGAAAATATTTCCCTTCCATCGACTGTATCTACCGACGAAAACACGCGCATACTGTCGCCATATTTACGAGGTCCATTTGAGAAATAAATAGCTTCTTTTGAACAATTATACATGTTTCAGAATAGGTTAAGCGGCAAAATATTCAGAGCAAAAACCTAACGTATCCACCTCGTAATTTTCTGATACAAAGATTTCTTTACTTTCAGGAAACAAAATTCGGTCTCCTTAATAACGGGTATCTTTATGTTTATCAAGCCCGAAATGAAGAGGGAAACGCCAAAATCCATTGCTGTTGGCATTAATAATTAGTTTGACAAAGAATAATTTATAAAGGGATCTTCATTTCAACGTCAAAACACATACCCTATTCACATGTATAAAAGCAGAGCCTAAAATTAGTCTCACACTTGGATGCAATCAATTAACGAAAAGGAATATATTGAAGAGTAATACCTATAATTACTTGTTTTGGTAATCATATATACATGACGAACACAACGACACGCAAAAATAAAAAAAGTATAATATGCATATAATTCATTATTATTAATATTATTTTTATTTTCTTTGATTTCTGGCGTTTACACGTTTCTTTCCGGGTCCCGCCCAGGGACCTAAGATTAGAAATGGCATCATGACACTTTCCACTGACAAAAAAAAAAAAAAAACATTAATTAGATAAAGCCCTTTGTAAAGTGTGGGCTGTACTTGTCAGAACAATTTTTTGTATCTCCTTGAGGCATGGACTTCCAGGAATCCCTTCAATTAGTCTACTGCAATCTTTTCCAACCAGTCCTAATGCTCCAAATACAACAGGGATTGTTGATGTTCCCATATGCCACACTTTCGAGATTTCTATTATTATTATTATTATTATTATTATTATTATTATTAATAATAATAATAATAATGATAATAATAATAATTATAATAATAATAATTTTAATAGAGCCTGATATTTTGATCGTATAAAGTATGAAGATCTTCAAATGGAAATCTCAAAAATGTCGCACATGACGACATCACTAATTCCAGTTGTACTTGAAGCTCTATGATTAATTGGAATATGTTATGATAGATTCCTTGAATGGATTCCTGGTAGCACATGCCTAAAAGAAATACAAAGACTTTGACTTACAAGTACAGCTCACGCTTTGCGAGGATCTTTATTTGTATAAAATGTGTGTGGTTTTGGGAATGTTTATTTTATTTATTTTATTTTTTTTTGCAAAACTGTTAAGTGTAAATGTCTTGATACAATTTCTGCCATTAGGTTGGGACTCTGAAGCAAATGCCTATACATAAAAATCAAAGGGACCAATAATAATATTAATAATAATAATAATAATAATAAACAAAAGTTTGGTTGGGATGCAGTAAGGGAATGTCATGTTGATTTCAGTTGTGATTGTCGTATTGAAATGAATGTCGTTCAAAATATGAGACTTCCTTGACCAGCCAGAAATGCCGTATGAAATTGGAGACATCTAAAAATGGAATCTTTGTAGAATTGCGCATTGTCTGAAGTCCTTGCTATGAATTAACAGATTGCTTAATGTACCCTGTATATAACAACAACAACAACAACAATAATGTTAATAACGTATATAGATATTTGATACTTACTTTTCCTGTTGAGTCTATTACTTGCGTCACGATGCAATATTTGGATTATTCATAATCGTAACCTTCCATCACAATGCTAGGATGTAGCCAATAGAAGCTTGGTAAAATACTCTCAAAATCTAGTCCCTTGTTCTTTCTGTGATCATCAAAGATCCGTGTAAAGAAAAATAAACAAAAAAGAACAAAATTCCTATTTGAAAATTTAAAACTTTATATCTAAAATAAGCCGACAGAACTTAACTGTATGTTTATATATATATATATATATATATATATATATAGCTACATAGATAGATAGATAGATAGATAGACAGACATATATATATATATATATATATATATATATATATATATATATATATATATATATATATCTGTGTGTGTGTGTGTGTGCAGATATGTAGAACAATAGGAAAGAACACGTCAAGTAAATAATCCGAGTCCTTTAGTATTTTTGTTTTTATTTTAGAAAAACAGTGCTCAATAAAGTAGTAAAGCTTAAATTATTATTATTATTATTATTATATATATATATATATATATATATATATATATATATATATATATATATATATATATATATATATATTGATAGAGAGACACATGTGTGAATATAAACTAAATATATATATATATATATATATGAAGAAATATACTCTTAAGGTATGCTATATTTATGGGATAAAGTGCTCAGTATCAGAGATAGAGCGTGTGTAAATATAAAAGTCAACATTGAAACCACTTAGAGGCGACCCTGTACTGAATTTCTGTTATTATATTTATTTAACTCAACTCCTCTCTTAATGTCTTTATTTCGGGCCCCTAACAAGGCCACAACAGAAACGATGTAGAAAAGTAGTGTCCTGTAGATGAAAACATCCTCCATCTCATGATTCTATGTTTTGTGATGCTAGACGCCCACTTCTCGTAACTTCCGTTAGGTCAACGGATACTCGTTATCACTTCCGGAATGATCGTTGTAGACGAGGCTTTGTAAACGCAGATACTGGTAGTAGTGATTTTCCAAGCGTAGCTTGGATGTGGCACAAGGCCGAAAGTAAGGGGTTCCCGGTGAGGATTGAACTTGCTACTCAGTCGTAATTGTTTTAGCGAGACAAGCTTGCTAACCATTACACTACCCTGAGGTGGCCAGATGCTGGTAGTAGTAACGCCTTCAAATAATACTTGCACTAATAATACTTGCTCAAATAGTAATCGTCAATAGTAAGTCGTATACTAATCAGTATAGAGAGATATTTTAGTGGATAGGATAGAGAATAGCAATCGCTTAGTCGCAATGCTAATTCCCATTTATAAGTTTTCTTTACGATCACGTGATCTACATATTTAATAATGGACTCGTTCGTGTTTTCTTACTGGTGATCTGTGTTCAAACTACAGTGTCGGCAGAGACAATTTATTCCTATACACCACTATAGTTGACGTTTCTGCGGAAATAAATAGTACGTATTCCTTTTAGATCATCAATTGTATATCATATAATGTTTTAACTATTTTATTCGTCCATATCTTCGTGAAGCATTTTATTTTGGAGGCATATAGAGAATTTGAGTCATTTTTAAAACCATGCTCTTAATTACTCTGGGAAATTCTCTTACGTTGTTATTAGATACACTTCTGTCAATTTCACAAACGTTTGTTTTATCTTAATTTCAGCTGTTATTTATCGCCGCTACTCAGATGGTTAGTCAAGTGCTATATT